TTAAGAATACACAGGTAAGGATCCAGTCCAGTCAACAAACAGAACTTACATCTCAGTAGTGGAAGGAGAGTTGAGCCAAATGTCCCAAACCTTATTAAACCTCTGGGGGCAAACCTAGGAATGGTAAGTAGCCTTATGGAAAGGTATGGCACCATTAACCAGGGATTTCCAAACATTAAGGGTCAGGTCCTCTGTCGACTCCCATTTTAAAGCTATAGCCTCCTAGCATAAAATAACAACAAACTGAGCAGTGTTTTTGTGGCCCGGAAAAAAACCAGGGGGCCCACTAAACCCAAAAGACAAGATTCAACATTCAGTGAAACTGGTATTGTAGTCAATGTAGACAAAAAAGATGTAACCTCAGACTAAAAAGCCTGAATTCGAGGGTACAATACACATGAAAATCAGACAGATCTTCCACACATCTTCAGCAGCGGGAAGATAACTCGGTGTACATTTTATGTAATCTTTGAGGTGTCATATAGGTCCTATGGAAGGGTTTAGACAAAGGGGAGTCTCATAGAACTTCCATCTTGGGAGACGTGAGATCCAGCTGTTGAGTTCCAAACTGAGAGTAATAGGTGTGGTGGAGGTACCTGAAGATGTAGGGATTGGGTAGTCCAAACTGTTGTTTCAGGGTATTAAAGGATTTTAAACAGCCCTGCCACAAATCTGCCACAAACAAGACCTAATGTTTTGATGCCCTTGGATGCCCAGATATGTGTCAATATCTTAGTAGCAGATTTATAGGAGGCAGGTGGGGGCAGACCCAGAAGGGAAGCTGTTCAATCATAAACTGTGTATAGGGGTTCTTCACTTTTAGAGTGGTAAGGATATGAAACTAATTTTCACAGTTAGTGGTGTCAGTAAGAAGTGTAGATAAATTAAAAATATTTACATGTGTTTCTTGGCGCATACAATGTACACAAATATGGAAATTGGTAGCGACATAAACAAACACTCACAGCACACACAAACATATACAGGTTGAACTGGATGGACCAGGATCTTTATTCAACCTTAACAACTATGTGATAGTACATGATAAAGTATCAGCTATATAATTAGACTTTCCAGGGATATAACTAGCTTTGACCCAAATATTAAGAGAAAACATTTCAGCAGGAAGAACCATAAGAATTTAATAACAGAAGAGGATTTTGAAGATAGACAGTTCAAGTCATAAAGAACACCTCTTTTATCAGTACAAAATAATGAATCCTTGCTTTCAAAATAAGGGCCCCATATTTAACTCCTTGGTGCCGGCACCTCCCAGCCGTTTAAGGGGTTTGTTAAGCTGGAGGGCATGGTTTAGGGTCATGTGACTGCCTTGATTGGCTGTCACGGCAGTCACGTGATCAGAAAGCCTGCAATTAGCGATCGGGACCTTTTCCACGAGGTGCAGGAAAATATGCTGGGGTGCACTCTCTGAACATTTTTTGTTTACTTTGAGTATGCAAATATGCGGTGCCTTGGTGCCAAGGCCCGGCCGCTGAGAGGCCACATATTTGCATATGTTCGGCGCCAAGGAGTTAAACCGCTACTTTTATGGGAAACCATTCTAACAAAATAATTTTTTTAGTTACACCTATTTTCACCCAGTTGAACTGACAAGATCCAGCACCCAATGGTTCCTTCAAAAAGCAAAAAAAAAACAGTGACATTAGTGAACTGAGTCTTAGTGCACAATAAATGCTTCTGCCAAAGGGATCAAACATTAAACTTGGGCAAAATAGAAGCCCATAAACGCAGATCATCCTTCATTTGTAAGTTCAAACGTACATGGGAAAATGGCGATTTGATAACAAAGATGGCCAAATAAAGTCCCCTTTAAAATTTTCTACCCATTGATATAACTTGAGTAGAAAAAGCTTATGGACCTAAGAAAGACTGCAGCTCTTTAAATGTAGCTTTTGTGATATGAGGGGTGTTTAGTTTAGTGGTAGCAGGGGCGGACTGACCATATGGAAACTCGGGCACTGCCCAAGGGCCTGGGGTCAGTAGGGGGTCTCATGAGATGCCCCTGGTACCGTTTTCATAGGCTTTTTTGAGTTTGGGCAAGGACACATGGGCCCCATGATCCCCCATTGCCCGGGGGCCCCATGAGTTTGTCAGTCCACCCCTGAGTGGTAGTGAGCATTTTCAGTCAGTCATGCCAATATGAACTGCGGTTAAGGGCTTTTGGTCCAATTTTATTTAAACAAAAGTGTCATATGCAAAAACTAAACATGCTAAGTGACCTGGCTCTCTTTTCAGCAGTACTGCTGAACTTGGCATGGGTCCCTCAGACCTTATTCCCAGCTCTCCTGATTCTTTGGGTTCTTATGGCTCACTCAGCCTACAGTTACAGCAGCCAGCTGCATGAGCCCGCTCCTGGCCTCTTGGAAGGGGTTCTGATACCCATGGCTCTCTCATTCCCCTGAGACCCACAGATTCCCTTAGCATTCCAGATTCTCTCTCAGTCTCCCTGACTCTCTCAGTTGCCCCAACTAACTCAGTCCTATGTGCAAGGAACCTCTCCAACATAGAGTGCAATCTTTTGGGTAGAGCACCTCTATCTCCTGGCAGGTACACGTGTCCTTACTGGCTGTAGCACATCGCTCTCTCCTGATGGGCCCTTGAGCTAGTGTGTACACCTGGATACAAACACAACCCGCAGGTTTCCAGAAAGACATGGACACAAAAGCCAGATAACAGTGACAAGCTAGTCTTCTCCCCTAAGAAACAATACTTTGGAACTTTGCACTGTACATTTGTGTGAATCCTGTGTACACATTTCCTACACTCACACTGTAGCATGGCCTAGCACTGTCACACTTTCTATTTGAGAGCAAAGTGAAGACTAAAGACTTACATTTCTACATCTACAATTCCATTAGGGTTGTATCTATTGTAATACTCAAAAAAATCCATACAAGTCAAGAAGTTTGATTATTCAAAAGAAAGGAGGATACGAAAATTATCACAAATCTTATAAATTCTTGCAAAAAGCTGAAGACATTAATCAAAAGCTGCAGAACCCGTACCAACATTTTTAACACACCCCACTCAAAGAAGGATGTACTGACAGTTTCTGAGGAAACGCCTCATCGTACAGTAACCATGAAAGACCACCAAAGTTCCTAAAGTGCCTATATAATAATGTCGATAATAACTCTCTTTCTCAGGTTCACCAAGCGATGAGGAAGACCATTGCAGCCATGAAGGTATCCACACAGCAAGGCTTGAGGAGAAATCAGTTGAACTGCAGGTCAGTGAGTACCCAAAAAGGAGTAAGGAAAGCAAAGTAGATACAAGCACAACCACACAAATGTGTTGTAGGGGGAAATACATTGCAGAGCACGGTGTCAGTGTACAAAAAAATGCGAAGAAAAACTAACAAAAAACTATTATTAGAAAAGGCTTAAAAACCCCACCCTGGGCAGAATCCCATGGGGACATTAAAAACAAAATAAGAAAAGTGAAAACGTATACTTTTATTAAATCTAAAACTAAACCCATAGGGGTTGATTTGCGAAAAGCAAATAGACTGTTCACTTTGCAGCGGAGGTTGCGCTTTGCATGGGAATTTACCCAAAAATTCAGTGAATGAGGTAAAGCACTGACGACTTCCATCATCCAATCATATGCAATACTATTTTTAGTTTCTTTTGTTTTCCTTGCCCATGAATGTGTATTCTTTGCAAAGTGAATTTAACCACTTTTACTAGGAGGAAATTTCTGATGGACAGTGTAACTTCCTCAAAAGGGAAAAGCTTATTTGCCTTTAGCAAATCAACCCCATATTTTCTATGTCAATAAGACAACATCACAGGAAGCACAATGAAATGCATATGCACATTGCAATCCTTATACAGAAGTACCAGCAATCATCAGTCAAAGAATGTCCAATTCAATGTATTTATTCAAATTATAGCTATGCTGGGCCATTTCCACCATAAAGGCAATTTGCTCAATATTTCCACTCAAAGGGTTAAGCCTTAAAAAGAGGCAATAGTCTAACATAACAACTTCATTATTAATGTTAGCTATCCCCAGTATATCTAGACTGTATGGTAGCTCATACCAGTGCTGGTTTGTAGACATCAAGTATTATAATTGTACAGGAGCCAAAATACCACTGTAGCAAAAAACAGCCAAGATAGAGTTGCATTACCTATATCCATTATAAGGCATTATCACTTATTGATTCAAATAAAATTTATATTCACTGTGTATAATACTGTATGGAGTATCAGATACACTATATTGCCAAAAGTATTGGGACATTTGCCTTTACACGCACACAAACTTTAATGACATCCCAGTCTTAGTCTGTAGGGTTCAATATTGAGTTGGCCCACCCTTTACAGCTATAACAGCTTAAACTCTTCTGGGAAGGTTGTCCACAAGGTTTAGGAGTGTGTCTATGGGAATGCTTGACCATTCTTCCAGAAGTGCATTTGTTAGGTCAGGCAATGATGTCAGACGAGAAGGTCTGACTCGCAGTCTCCGCTTTAATTCATTCCAAACGTGTTCTATCGGGTTGAGGTCAGGACTCTGTGCAGGCCAGTCAAGTTCTTCCACCCCAAACTCGCTCATCCATGTCTTTATGGATCTTGCTTTGTCCATTGGTGCACAGTCATGTTGGAACAGGAAGGGGCCCTCCTCAAACTGTTCCACAAAGTTGAGAACATGAAATTGTTTAAAATGTCTTGGTATGCTGCCTTAAGAGTTCCTTTCACTGGAAATAAGGGGCCAAGCCCAACCCCTGAAAAACAACCCCACACCATAATCCCCCCTCTACCAAACCTTACAGGCACAATGCAGTCAGGCAAGTACCATTCTCCTGGCAACTGCCAAACCCAGACACGTCCATCGGATTGCCAGACATAGAAGCGTGATTTGTCACTCCAGATAACACGTCTCCACTGCTCTAGAGTCCAGTGGCAGAGTGCTTTACACCACTACATCCGACGTTTTGCATTGCACTTGGTGATGTAAGACTTGGATGCAGCTGCTCGGCCATGGAAACCCATTCCATGAAGCTCTCTACGCACTGTTGTGCTAATCTAAAGGCCAAACAAAGTTTGTAGGTCTTTGGCTATTGACTCTGCAGACAATTGGCCACTTCTGTGCACTGAAAGCTTCAGCATGTGCTGACCCCGCTCTGTCATTTTTACGTGGCCTACCACTCCGTGGCTGAGTTGCTGTTGTTCCCAGTAGCTTCCACTTTGTTATAATACCACTAACAGTTGACTGTGGAATATTTTAGTAGCAAGGAAATTTCACAGATGGCTTTTTTTGCACAGATGACAACCTATCATGGTACCACGCTTGAATTCATTCAGCTCCTGAGAGTGACTCGTGTTTAATATTCAAAAACAACCCCACACCATAATCCCCCCCCCCCCCACCAAACTTTACACTTGGCACAATGCAGTCAGGCAAGTACCGTTCTCCTGGCAACTGCCAAACACAGACGGATTTCCAGACAGAGAAGCGTGATTCATAACTCCAGATAACACGTCTCCACTGCTCTAGAGTCCAGTGGCGGTGTGCTTTACACCACTACATCCGACACTTTGCATTGCACTTGGTGATGTGAGGCTTGGATGCAGCTGCTCGGCCGTGGAAATCCATTCCATGAAGCTCTCTACGCACTGTTGTTGTGCTAATCTAAAGGCCAAACAAAGTTTGCTATTGACTCTGCAGACAGTTGGCGACTGTGTGCTTCAACATGTGCTGACCCAGCTCTGTTATTTTACATGGCCTACCACTTGGTGTCTGAGTTGCTGTTGTTCCCAGTTGCTTCCACTTTGTTATAATACCACTAACGGTTTTCAGAAGCTAAATCATAAGCTCACCACAATGATAAGCTCACCACAATCTTCGGTCCCATACAGGGGGTTAGGCTCCTCCATAACAAGGGTGCCAGGCAGGAAACATCGGGGAATCAACAGCCCATGCCTCAGCTTGTCCGAGAGCTTCCACTTGCCTTACAGCCTGTGAGTCTCTCGCTCTCTCTCTCGCGTGCGCTCTCTCTCTCTTTCCTTGACAAACCTGCCAATTTCCCTCTGCTGCCATTTAGGCCTTCATCAGCTGGGATTTAACTACCTTGGGACCAAAGTCCTGGTAGTCTCTGCAATGGTCTCCCTTAAAGAGACCACAGCGCAAATATCGGGGAAATGTATCTACCATCCAGGACAAACTCCCGGTGTCCTGTACAATATATACTGAAACTGAAAGCTGCAGGTTGTGCATCACACAAACAGGAAATGGTATTTCTGTGGACGGTCTGTAGAGGATTCAGTTGGAAAAGAATAGGTAATATTTAATATCATTAAATTACAACATGATGTTTAGCAATAATATATATATACTGTATCATTTTTTTTTAATTTGCTATATTTATCCATGAAAGTGGAGCTATCTTATTAGTCACTAAACATGTAATCATATGGACAGCACAAGATACAAAAAAAATTCACACAGACAATACCTAAGGCAAAGATAATGAAATCAAAGATAATACCTACATAGAGGATCAGCTGCTATAACACATAATGGGTTACCTGAGGCTGATACAGACACAAATGCCATACAAATGAAATCAAAGGTATTCTGAGAATGACAGAGATGGCATTACATTTCTTAATGAATCATACCTTGTAAAAGAGACAGACAGTATCAATTGACTAATTGAGACATCTCTAAAAGGATAAAAGCTCTCTGAAAGCTAAATGATCCTCACCGATGGGGAGAGCCAATGCTAGCTGTTAAGCAATAAGATGCCATATAGACAAGGCCCCAAGGATGAATGAGTCACAGCACTGTAATCTGAAAAATGACCTGTTATTGAAGAGGTATTACAGGCTGGTACTCAAGTAGTTAAAGAGGCACAGATGTAGATTTACTAAAACTGGTGCACTCAGAATCTGGTGCAGCTGTGCATGCCAGCCAATCAGCTTCTAACTTCAGCTTGTTCAGTTAAGCTTTAACAATAAAACCTGGAAGCTGATTGGTTTCTACGCAGAGCTGCACCAGATTTTGCACGCACCGGTTTTAGTAAATAACCCCCACCATGTCAGCTCATCGTGTGTCATGAAGGTTGGACCATGCCTTAAGATGTGCACACTTGCATATCACAGCTCATGATTACCACTTAGGGGCACAGCTGCAAGCACATTTGTACATATGCACAGTCAATTTACAGTATAGTGTAGGCTATCAACTTTTATTTTACCGATTTCACGTAACACAGAGTTGGACAACAGGGTTACAGGATTGGCATAGTTAACTATGATCTATGTTGTAGATGGATATCTATAAACAGCTCTTCAGTAGTGATGAACTGGATGTACTTGAGTTTGGTTTAGGATACATTCTGAAGACTTGACTTAAATTCGTATGGCAAATCCAAACTTGCTTTAAACCATTAGGTGCTGAGCTCTGGAAATTACACTTCTTCCCTGTTTAATCCTGTGATCCCAGGGCCTAGCATAGAGAGGTTTTCAAGCACTGATTTAATTTGAGGTTTTAAGATGTCACATGACCAAATGCAGAGAGCAACAAAGGACAAGGAACAGCTATAAAATGCTTAGCATCAGTCACTGACCACAGGTCCACCTTGATGGAGGTCCAAATGGGAGAACAAGATTGCCTCCTCTCTCCTTATCACAACCTGGTCTCACACCTTCCTTCTCCCCTTCCTCCACAATTCAGTCTTATTTCTTTTTTCTCTCGCTTTCATCCACAATCCAATTTTACAACCCCCTCCACATATTTCTATCTCCCCCCCCTCTCCACTATCCAACCCATGTCCTTTAAGTTTTTAAGTTGACATCCTTCTTACAATATGTCCACTAATCCCTTTGTGTGGGACTCTTTTAGGCCACAGGAAACTGTCCCTGCTATCATGAAAGAGTCAATTAATTGTCTATGTCCCCCAGTTCAAAAGTTCCCAATCCTCTTCTGGTTGTGTGCTTGTAAGATAAGCAGCATGTGCTCCATCCACACATTTCGCAATGTGTATTCTGAATTAAACGTCCAGAGCTTGAACTTTTGTTCCAGTATTTCAGTTTCCCTGAATTATTGCCTATTTCTTGGTGCAATCAATTCATTTGTTCAGTGTTATGTTAAAGGTTATAGTAAACAACTGCTGTTATAAGTGCCATTCTCAGCAAAGGATCAATTTGGAAAAAAAAATTTTTTATGGATTGTGATCATGAGATGTATGAAGTAAATGCAGTTTACTATAAGTATTGCTTTATTTTTAGAACTATGGGCTCCATTCACAAAGCTGTATCTACCACTTTAAGATCTGCGGTAAAATAACTATTAGCGTTTTTCAAAAAAATGTGGGCAATTCACTAAAAAAAGCTTGTAAAATAAGTGATGCATAAATCCCATGCTAAAAAGTCACCAAACCACATCAGAAAATAAATGTGAAATCAACGACTGCATCACTCATCGATATCTACACATACAGGAAATATCCAAAACATAGCTTCAAAGAATAGTGCTGTGCTGTCAAACATACAATTAACGTGATAAACTTAATCAAATATAAAGTCAAGTGTCTAAATCAATTTGTAAAGTCCGTCAGGAATATAAATAATCTTCATGATTCCAGTGTGTGTACCAGCATCCAACTGATTATAATGCCACTTACCAAATATTTAGACCCCACATCTCAAGAGATCTAAATCAGCTTTTAAAGGATGATGGATGGATGGATGAATGAATGGCTGGCTGGCTCCAGCTTTCTTTTTTCCAGAACACTAGCCTCTCACTCACCCAAGTAGCATGCCCCAAAGCAGTCACTCTATTGCTTCCATTATGCTGGTCTCATCATCACAAATGCATACCAAGGAAAGAGCAAGGACATCCCATAGTGAAGTAGTTTAAAATGATTTAAAAATAAAAACAAGTGGGTAATAACAAACAAAGACTATTTAGCGCATTTCACATAGCACTGTCGAGTCTCCAGGCGAGCGTAATAATGTCACCCCCCTAAACTCAGCCTTACTTATGTTTTGTCCACGTCCTTTATGGGCAATGGTCTGTTGCAATAATTTTCTAGTAAAATAGATAGGAAACATGAAACAGTGAATGTATTGACAAGGAACATTAGTCATGAATGTAGAGTGCTCTGAAAAAGTCTTAATGTACCTATTTGTAGCGAGAATCATGGCTGCTCAAGGCTCCATCAAATAGATACAGAGATGAGTATTATTCTTTATTTAAGGATTTCAGAGCTGAGTAATTTATAATGTATTTAGTTCCCATAAAAAATGTGGGTGTGAAAAGTCACATATTATAATATAAAGAGAATAGAGGTGGGAGGGATATCCCCAACACACATGAAGGCTAAAATGGGAATCAATGGGGGGTGCATAGGAGAGGGAGTGAGGGGGAATAAGAAGAGGTAATTGTGGGGAAGAGAGGGTATCCTGGGGGAGGTCCACCTGCAAATAAAGAGACCTCTGGCACTGGTGAGCTGTCTTCTGTTGTTGGCGAGTGTCTCTTCTATATTGGCTTACAAGTCACTACCCTGCCACAACAGCCACCAACAAGCTCCCCAGAGAAGTAGCCAAATGAAAGTGGAACTGCGGGCAAGACCTTGGTCAGAATTGCAGTGATAACACATGCTTCTGGGACAGGGTGGCCATAGGTATTACTGGGCATGAATATCATCTAGGGACTGAGGGCTTAGATGCTGAAGGGGAATCCTGCACAACTGGGCCAAGCTAAGGAGATCCAAGTACTGCTTTACATGCAGGAAGTACTGGACAACCCTGATCTGTAAGCATCTGGGAAAAAGCTGCCATAATCAGGGTTCTCTTTCAGGTTGTGGCAACAATTAATAAAGAGCTTAGACCTCTGGAGAGGCTGTGGGAGCCTTGACAGCTCAGGATCACCAGGGGTAAGTACAGTGGGGAGAGTGTCTGATGTTAGGTCACATTCCATTTTTCATGCAAAGATTAAATAAAACTTTAATAATAGGATGCTATGGTAAGCTGCAGTTTCTAATTCAAGCAAAATCCTTCCTTATATTAAATGAGGTGCAGACTGAAGAGAGAGAGATAATATTACCCCTGTACAAATAATTTGTAATACCTCATCTGGAATAAGCAGTTTCAGTTTTGGGCAC